TTTAGATACCTAGTAAAAAAGTTATTATAAAGTAACGGGACTAAAAAGACAAAATCATAAAAGTTTTTCCTAAAAAAAATCATAAAAGTTTTAAGCACTTAATTTACAATTTCACACAAACATTTTGAACGGCTGCCAATAACTTCGGAAAAAAACCCTCCAATTATGAGTTAGAGAAATGCTTAGCTCCTTATCAGACATGATCAATCATTTTCTAAATACCATTAAATGTTTGAAAACTAACTAAAAGAGTGAAAGGTAAAAATAAAAACCTTTTAAAAAAATTGATGAGCTGTCAATTTTTAGTGGCGGGTCCTGACTCGTGATGCCAGGCGCGAAGTGACATTACTACCTTTTCTACTCAAAAGACAGAAATCCCAAGGCCCAGCCCACTAGAGAAGCCCAGCACCGTTTAAATGGGCCTCAGCCAGCAGTGGCAAAGGGATAGGATATGGCAATGGCATATTCTTCAAGGTGCTATTCTCACAGGTACCCGAAGAATTTTAAGATAACAGACCAATTATCTTTCGTCTCTTCCTGAAACGAGATCGGTGACCCAATCTTTCATTTTCAACCTCAAGTCCGTGACAGCAACGAATTATTCATAACTTTTCTCTCCTCTTACACAGAACGAAGAATAATTACTCCAAAAATTTAGAAAAGTAATTGAAAAACCAAAGTCCCAAAAAACTCGCAGATCTGCTGGTGTTTCGCCTCCTTACCTTCCGAATCTCCCCCCGTCGTTTCGTTTGAGCTTCAAATCTTACTCCCGAGGTTAGACCTCGTTCATTTTTCGGAACCGCTTCCTTCTTTAATGTTGATTTTCTGATGTGTGGTTCTCTTAGATTCCCAATCTTGCCTGTATCTGAGGATGAATTTGGTTTTCTTAGCTTTTCTAGATGTGTTTCCATTTCGTCTCGTGTTTTTGTCTTGCTTTACATTTCAGGTATGCTCTTGTATTTCTCTATTTTATCTTTAGGAATTTCTTCTGATTGACGATTTCTGGAGCGTCTCCATTGCGGATCTAATAGTGAAGATGCATTTTGTGTGTAACCCTAATGTTAGCTGGGTGGGATTGAGAAAGGAACCGCTAATCGAGGAGAGTCGTTGTGTTGATCTATGTCTTCAATTTTTGGACCGAACCTTAGAAAGTTTTCACTGTATGGACCCTTGAAAGTTTTTGCTTCCGGGATCCCAAAATTTATGCAACATTCTGAATTTTTTCGTTCTCGCTCTGATGGAGGGGGAAACTCTAATTAATGTATTGGGGTCTTTTTTTCATCCTTTTTTGGCGCTTATCAACTTGCAGATTTTGTGACTGTTATGCCAAAAGTGCAATAAGTTAGAGTAACTTGTATGGGTTATCTGCAGATAGTGAAGCTTTTAGTATTCAATGGACGGTATAGGAGGTGATACGGCCTCAGCAGCAGCACCCTTGAACCAGTGGCAACATGACATTTCACGGCTTTACCAATATTATCTGGATAAGACTACCCCACATGCTGTCTACAGATGGATTGGAACCATTTTTGTGTTGGCAATTTATGCATTGAGGGTCTACTATGTGCAAGGGTTCTACATTGTTTCATATGGTCTGGGTATCTATATACTCAATCTGTTGATTGGATTTTTGTCGCCCTTGGTTGACCCAGAGATGGAAGTTTCAGATGGACCTTTGCTGCCAACGAAAGGTTCAGATGAATTCAAGCCATTCATTCGACGACTTCCAGAATTTAAGTTCTGGTAACTATGGAATTTCCTTCATGAGCAAGCATTATTTTCTTTTTTATATTTGGCTGGTAAACTTTGAAGTTTGATTTTCTGTTGTTTCATTAATACATATTCGATCCGCAGTATTCTGTTTATCTATTATGTCAAGTTTGGTACTCTTAACTGGTAGTTTGGTACTATTAATTGGTTGGCTTCAATGGAGAAAAAAAAGGCATAGGCAGCGATGAGGGAAACTGACAGTGAGGTGGGCAGAGTTTGGTTAAGTTGTGAAGATATCTCATATCTGTCTACAAGTATTCTTTTGTGCCTCTTTTGTGCCTATCTCTTGTTCATTTTAATTATTACTCATTGGTGCTTGTTAATGGGCTTTGCTCATTATATATATGGTTATTTTGACATTCTGAGTCCATACTGTCATGCTTATTATTTTGCACTGTTGCACCTGCCTTGAGCTTATATAGTTGATATCTCAAGAATTAAAATGTAGTGGAGCAGGAAGGCATTTTCCTGTGGCTTGGTAATTTAAACAAGACAGGGAAAGATACAATCATCATATGGAAAAATATGCTTTTATATTTGTCAGTTCTCATTGAAATTTTGATGGTTTTAGAAGAACCTGGTCTCATTGTACCTTATTGTGTCGTGATGGTTAATGACTTCCTTTTTACCTTTTATCCTTTTTCTCTTCAAGTTTCTATTCCTTTTTTTTTCTTTCTACTATTTTCTGTGTGGAGAAGTTCCTTGACATTATAGAAGTCACTCAGAATGATAATGGTTCGAAAATGTTAACCTCTTTGTTGGGTGACGTAATAATTTGGGCACTCTCAAATATTGCCCCGAGGCTTAGTGAAGTAGACATGTTTATTAGATAAATGCTAGTCTACTCTGCACCTTGAGGGAGAGGCCCTAAGCTTCTTTCAGTTTACTTATTAAAAGAAAGGCTTCCCTTGCTCCCTGGCATTTTCTCACTTTCTTATATTAATTTGTTCGGGAGAGCTCTGCCATCCCCTCGAGATCATGCTAGGGTGTGAAACTTGGATAATTGAATTTGAACGCTTCAATTGATTATCCATTTGGGTTCTTTGGTGTTGTTCTTATTTTCCACCCCTGTACCAACTTTCCCTTTTGTTGAAGTAAATAAATTTTACTTTATTTCTCATAAAAATGAAAATTTGTGTTTGCAGGTACTCTTTTACAAAGGCGTTTTGCATTGCCTTTGTAATGACCTTCTTTTCCATATTTGACGTTCCTGTCTTCTGGCCTATTTTACTTTGTTACTGGATTGTCCTTTTTGTCCTGACAATGAGGCGTCAGATTTCACATATGATCAAGTACAAATACATACCATTTAGTCTTGGAAAGCAGGTGACTTACCAAATACTTTTAATACATTATGCAGCTGTTTCTTTCTCCTCCCTTGACCTTTCTCGAGTTGCTCCATTTTGTTGAGAAAAAAACTAGATAATCAAAACTTTGATATTTTACAGAAGTACGGTGGCAAGAAAGCTTCTGCAAGTAGCGGTATCTCCAACGACGATTGAAGCACATGGCTCATTATTTACAGCAATTAGTACAAGTACTGAATGGAGAGAGGAATTAGAGACCTGGATATTCACAGTAGCAGAAAATTTTTTCATTGAAGTTACTTGTAGTTAAGATTGCTTATGGATTTAAACATTGACGATGCACAGGACATGCTTATGCCAAACCCTTTATGATAACTGAAGGACTGCTGTTGTAGAAATTATCAGTTTATACACGTTGCCTTCTGCGATTAGTCGGGCGTCATTGCAAATCTTTGTTTTCTGGTTTTGATTCCCCCAACCCATCCTTTTTTCTGGTCTTGATGATGCAAATTTGAGCTGATAGAGTTGGCAGTGTTGTTGTAGAGTTCCCCAAATTGCACGTGGGAGGGAACTTTGTGTGTTTGATTATATTGATAATGATATCTGAGAGTTTTGTGTGACAGAGTCATGATTGGGAAAACTCAATTATTAGGTATATTGGAGAGTTATAGATACCTGAAAATTTAAGCCTAGGTTGATGTTTAAGGCAATTCAATTGACAATGTTGGGTAAATTGTGTAATGATATTTATTTTACCAAACTATGCTAAGTTTCAGGGCATCTCCTGGTTCCTGCTATTTTATTTGGCTAAGTTAATATTTGAAACTTTTAAATAGTTTTAGAGATTAAATAAATTTTTTAAGGACTAAATGTTAAATTTATTTTAAATGCAAGCGTATTTTATAATACTTTCTGGATGAAAATATACATAACACTGGATATTCTTAAAAAATATTGCTAATTTTAAAACTTTTTAAAAATATATTATAACTTTCAAACTTATTTAAAAAGTAATACTTCAAAATTATTTTATTAAAAAGATGTTCCAAAGGTCGCGTGTCTGCATGTTGTTTGTGTGTCTTTTCTTTTTGAAGCATTATTTTTAGAATATGATGTGAAGTTTAAAATATTTGAAAAACAAGTTCAAAAATTATTAATATTACAAAAAGTCCTAAATTATTGCTATGGTTAGTGAATTAATTTTTAAAGAAAAGAATTTTTTTTTTATATAGGTGCGTCCCGATTAATCACGGGTTAACTGTCTAACGTTAGCCTTAAAATCCTAAATTTTTAAAGAAAAGATAACATTTATGTAACAAATTTTTGAAAGGTGTAATTTTTCTTAAAAGGTTAAACGGTGTAATTTTCCATACTTACATATTTAAAAATGTAATACACAATATGATATTTATAAAAGTCCAATGTAAATTATTGGCATGGTTGGTAAATTAGCATACATGTAACCGATTTTCAAACGGAAAGTAACGTTAAGTGTCTAATTTACTGCACTTATGTATTTAAAAATAGACATACATGTATGTATTTTATTTATAAAATTTAAAAGTAATTATACCGTAAGTTCCAGTGTAGCTTAATTGATCAAAATATCTATCTCATATAAAAATTCATGAATTTAAATTTCCATTTCAAGAAAAATAATTATGTCATTTGATAAAAATTCTTATGTTTTTAACTCTTATTTTTTTATCTTAATTAGTCGACTATGTTTAAGTTGGTAAACATATTTGTCTAGATTCACTTTTAATGGCATAATTTTAATCATATTATTATGAATTAAATAATATTAATAAATTAGGTCAAATCGAACCTAGCTTTAAGACTTCAAGAGGTCATCGGTTTGAACCCACCCACGTCTTTGTAACAAAAAAAAAAGAGGGGGAAAAATGGAAAACCCCTAAACTAAAACCCTTAACCTGTGTCGCCACTATCGATGGGGTATTCGGAGGAGTAATAAAAAGCTGGGCTCTCCTTCTTCCTCTAAAAACCTAAAGGCCACAGCGCCATCGCCACCAAAATCCCAATTCCGCCATGGGCAAAGTCAAGGGGAAGCATCGTTTGGATAAGTACTATCGCCTCGCCAAAGAGCATGGCTATCGCTCTCGTGCCTCCTGGAAACTCGCCCAGCTCGATTCCAAATACAACTTCCTCCGCTCCGCCCATGCCGTCCTCGATCTCTGCGCCGCCCCCGGTGGTTGGATGCAAGTCGCCGTCGAGCGGGTTCCTGTCGGTAGCCTCGTCGTCGGCGTCGATTTGGTTCCCATTGCGCCGGTTCGCGGTGCGGTCGCCATCGAGCAGGACATCACCAAGCCCGAGTGCAAGGCCAGGCTCAAGAAGATTATGAACGAGAAAGGCTGCCCAGCTTTCGATTTGGTCTTGCACGATGGATCCCCAAACGTCGGTGGAGCTTGGGCGCAGGAGGCTATGAGCCAGAATTCCTTGGTTATTGATTCAGTCAAATTAGCTACTCAATTACTGGCTCCCAGGGGTACATTCGTAACCAAGGTAGGTTTGTTTTTTTATTTTGGGTTTTGATTTTGGTATTCAATTGTTTTATAATCCTCTGTGTTTTGTTCTTGTTCCATGGTGTTTCTTTTTATTTGATAATTAACTATTAGTTGAATGGTAAGTTGTCCTTAACTTACCTATAGCTCGTTCTATTAGTTAGTCTTAGTTGACAAACAAACGAATCCCAGTTCAGTCATGGTTCTCAATAATTAAATCTTAGGCGACTTCCTTTTTATTATGTAGTAAGCTTAAGTAAATTTCATTCTTTCATTTTGCTTTAGGCTCTGCTTACCCTTTTATGACATTCATTGATGAGTGAAGGTAATTTTTCGGTCCTCCTACATCATTTTACTATAGTTCCTTTGCTCCTGTGTCAAGGATGTGGCTGTGGGGATTATATAAGCGATATGCATTTGAGATTTCCTTTTTAAAAAATATAAATACGAGTAGGACAGGGGATTAAGATTTTGGATGTGAATTTTAAACTAATTGACTTTACTGGTTGAGTTGAGCTATTACTAATGGATCACTTGATACTGGTGTCCTGGATATGCTAAGTTGCTATATTGTTAATATCTATGAGCACTCTTTTCTTTCAGCCTGGACATGACTGGCTTCTGATTGCTTATTTCTCTTTCATTGTCAGGTTTTCAGGTCTCAAGATTACAGTTCTGTCCTATACTGTCTCAAACAGGTAATTTTTCTACTCGAATTGATGTCATGGTCATTTGTTTCTTTCTATCTGCAATTTGTAAACATTCAAATGGCTTTGCAGTTATTTGAAAAGGTTGAGGTGGACAAACCTGCAGCTAGTCGATCTGCATCTGCAGAAATATATGTTTTGGGTCTTAGGTATAAGGCTCCTGCAAAGATTGATCCTCGTCTTCTTGATGTGAAGCACCTATTTCAAGGATCTGTAGAACCCCAGCGAAAGGTAATTGTTACTGCATCCAAATGAAGCTAAAATGTGTGATTTTTTATTTACATATTCAGTTTGTATGTGATTCATTCATCATAATCGTCAATATGTTATTTTAAATCCTTTGTTTTTGTGTAGGTTGTGGACGTACTTAGAGGAACAAAACAAAAGAGACATCGTGATGGGTATTCCTTCACTTTAAGGACATATTCATATGTTTCATTCATTATTTGTCTATGCCATGTTTGACTGATTCCCTGCAACAATTGAACTGTTATAATTTAGAAATAAACTGTATGTTAGTCTAAAGGGTTTCAGGGAGAGAGTAAACTTCCAATGGTTTTAGGTACAAAGCATGGTAGCGTGAAAGAGGGATAATGCTCATGTTCATCTTTATGCTGGGAAAATATTGTTCATTTGTGCAGTTCAAAGGGGTTGCTAATTTATTTAAATTTGTTCCGGTGATAAGCAATGGGTGGGAGAGAGGGGTAGTGGTGGAGATCAGTGGTAATAATTGTCTTCTTTATGCCAGTGCAGAATTGTTCATTTATTTAATATTTTTTGTGATAATAGATATGAAGATGGAGATATGACTCTTCGAAAAGTGTCTTCCGCTTCTAATTTCATCTGGTCAGATTCTCCTCTTGAGATCCTAGGATCTGTGACCTCCATAACTTTTGATGATTCTGCTTGTTTGCCAATTAAGGATCATGATTTAACAACTGAAGAGGTATTGTATTTTTAGTATTTGTCTTTTCAAAGGTAGAAATCATCATATGGAATACTAAGCAAGTGCCTATTCTCTAACAGGTTAAGACACTTTGTGATGATTTGCGTGTCTTGGGCAAGCAAGATTTTAAGCATCTGCTAAAGTATGATTCTCACCCTTCTAGATAATTGCATTTCAGTCTTTTGATTTGATTTTATTTTTTTGCATCTTTTGCGTGTCTTTGTATAGCTCTTTTCTAATAAGACCTTTTTAATTCCTGCTGCTGCTGTTTGGTTTGGATTGATAGGACTCATAGTACTTATTTCATTAATGTGAAATGAAAACAGAAAAGAGATTACAGACTTTCCAAGCTCTTCAGGAGGTCCTCCTCCTAAATAATCGTAATACTAATCAGAATGCCCCTAGCTCTCTCCCTTAATATTTTCTACCTACACGTACCAGAATATTTATCTCGTCTGTAACTACAAAATTATGCCTCACATATACATGCACGAAATGCTCCCTCCTATATAACAGAATTTCTAACTTCTCTTGGTAGGCTTAGTAGCCTTGTCTTTACTGGATTGCAGGTCTTGCATTGCTTTCATAGTTGTAGTGTAGGGTAGTGCAGAGCCACAAGTAATTAGGCTTATGAATAAGTCTAATTTACATTTCGCTCCACCTGATAGGAACATGTATATTTAGGACATTAGATTGCTTTCTGCCTGGGAGATTACCTGTAAAAAGAAGGAAGGCAATGGATTGTAAAGGTTGATTCAGTGTAATGATGGGTTTTGTATTTGCACACATCCATATACAACTCTGTGACAATTCTCTGATTCCATGAGGCTTTACTACTTCATGGTTTTGAAATCTTTTATAATGCTTCATTTAGGTGGCGATTGCACATAAGGAAGGCCTTATCTCCCAGTCAAAAGGCTACATCTACTTCTGTTAAAGATGCTGAAAATGAGGTAAAGCAGGATGACGATGATAAAATACTAAATGAAATGGAGCAGCTGACCTTCAATATGGAGCGAAAGAAGAGAAGGGAAAAGAAGCGACTTGCAAAAAGGATAGCTAAGGTTTGTTCTCTTGCAGAGTTCTCTCAATTTTCCATCCTCTTGGAATTAATGTTTACAGAGAATTAAATATGTTGTTCTTTTACACAAGAATAGAATATGGTGTTTCAATTGATTGTAATCTAATGTTCGTTTTATTTAGAAAATGATTGCTGTTTAGTTTTTTTTCTTTTTTTTTGGCACTTGGGGTCTACTATTTATAATGTTATTTGGTAAAAAAGAACTTAGGTCTTATCTCCATACAGTATCGGTGTCTAATTCATTGTTAAATTTCTACAACTTTCTTTTTAACTTACTGCTATGTGCGACCTTTTGACTTAAAGTGGGAAGCGCATGTTCTTTTTAACCTTCCACTTGACTTGACTGCCAATTGTGTAAGTTCTATCTTTTATCAAATAGTAGAATAGAAGTAAGCATGGGTTGATCAGTCTATATTGGAATTATGGAATCTTTTTCCCCACCAAATAAAAACTCCTGAATATGATCATGTCTTCTCCTTACTCTTTTATCACAAGTCACGTCACATGGTAGCTGATTGAGTTGCTATTTTTCTGTATATTAAAGGACAAAGCTAGGAAAGCAACAGGGATGCAACGAGATGTCATGGACGATAGTTATGGTGATCCCGACTTGTTCTCTCTTAGTTCCATTAAGGTATACTTTCCCTTGAATATTTTCTCCCTAATTTTTTTATTTTGCTTTTTTTTTTTGGAATTAGACTTCTTTGCATCTTTTTGTGAAATTCATCTGCCTTTGTATTTTGACCAGGATAAGAAGGGTTTAAGAGGAATTGATTCGACCGAATATGATGATAATGTTGAGGTGGGAGAATATGAAAATCATGTAGCCAAAGTGGAAAATGATGGGTCCTCAGCTAGTGACATTGACTCTGATGAAGAGCGCAGAAGGTGTTCTCTCCCTTCGCTTAATACTGTTAACTTTCAGAATGGAGTAATAAGTTTCTGCTTTTTGTTATTTTGTGATGCATACTGAGGCTATTCTTCTAGGTATGATGAACGTATGGAGTCATTGTTGGATCAGGCTTATGAAAGCTTTGTTGCCAGAAAGGAAGGAAGTACAAAGCAGCGGAAACGTGCAAAAAAAGCCTATTCTGATGATGCCGAGGTGCTTGAGGTATGAAGCTGTAGTGGGTAAAGGTTTTGAATGATAACTAATTCAATTTATTTCCAGTCACTTAGTTTGGTATTGCTTTTCTCTCTTCATTTCAGGTTTTTTTTGTTGTGTGCGCACATGAGATTTCTATCCATTATTTCCCATAGGCATAGGTTACTAATTGTCATTTGGAGGTAGAAATTGTAATAGGAAACTTCATTACATCATTATTCACGTGTGTGAAGTAGAAATATGGTCATATGAAGCATATTTAGTCACAAGTTGCTGATGATTTATTATCCTCACTTTGGAGTTTGGCTGTGCAGGAGGATGAGAATGGAGGTGATGGTATTCAATCTGATTATGACTCTGACGAAAATCTGGTAGACGAGGATAAAAATCCACTGATGGTATCGCTTGATGATGGTGAAGCGCCAACTCAAGAGGAGATCGCAAACAAGTGGTTCAGTCAGGATATCTTTGCCGAAGCAGCACAGGAGGGAGATATGGAGATGTTGGATAGCGAAGATGATATGCAGGTTGATGAACCAAAGGAAATAACTTGTGTCTCTAAAGAGGCCAAGTCTAATATTTCAAAGAATGCAAGAGAGAAGTCAAATATTTCAAAGAATGCAAGAGAGACTGATAAGGCAGACGATGGATTTGAGGTAGTCCCTGCCCCGGCTACAGATTCGAGCGATGATTCATCATCATCGGAGGATGAAGATCCTGAGACAAAAGCAGAGATATTGGCATGTGCAAAGAAGATGCTGAGGAAAAAGCAAAGAGAGCAGATTCTCGATGATTCTTATAACAAATACATGTTTGACGATGCAGGCTTGCCCAACTGGTTTTTGGATGAAGAGCGAAGACACCGTATACCAATAAAGCCTGTTACCAAAGAGGAGATTGCTGCAATGAGAGCACAGTTTAAAGAAATCAATGCCCGCCCTGCCAAGAAGGTTGCTGAAGCTAAAGCACGGAAGAAGCGAGTTGCAATGAAGAAACTCGAGAAGGTTCGCAAGAAGGCAAACGCCATCTCAGACCAGGCTGATATAAATGATCGATCAAAGAGGAAGATGATCGACCAACTATACAAAAAAGCAGTACCCCAGAGGCCCAAAAAGGAATTCGTGGTAGCAAAGAAAGGAGTTCAAGTCAAGGTTGGCAAGGGTAAAGTCCGGGTCGATCGACGTATGAAGAAGGATGCAAGGAAGCACGGAATGAGCAAGCAGGGTAAAGGTTCAAAAAAGGGAAAGAACTTGAAGGCTCAGAGAGGTAAGGGTGGATCCGCGAAGGCTTCTTCGGCTAAGAAAGGAAGGAAATGAAACAAATAAAGATGGTGATACAGAGAGATGAAGGATTCTTCCAATTTGTACTCATCTCTGGTGTTCAATTTTGCAGTTGATTCATTTGATATTTTATTGTTTATCAATCAAAAGCTGTTGTGGAGTCTCTGCCCAAGTTCGGTATAGTCTCAAGTTTGAAGGTTTTTTTCCCTTTAATTTTAAAAGCTAAGTTTATTGTTAAATACAAGACCTCATGTTAAGTTGGCTAAACCGAATACCCAACACTATGGACTAATTGAAGTAATTTTCAAACAGTGGATTTAAAAGTGTGATTTTTAAACCAAAGCTTAGGAAAAAAGGTAATTTAACCCAATAATTTTATTGTGCATCTATCATTTATTTTAACAATAATGGGGTGGGAGATTGAATTTTGTAATAGATACCCATCGAGCAATTCTCGAATAGGTAAAATCCAGCCATTTTTATCCATAATCCATTTCCTTTTTATTTGAAAGCCTATTTGGTTTCATATATATATATTTTTATCTAAACTTTTAACTTTCATAACCTTGATTTAATATTCTCATATACCTTATATTGAATGTCAGTTCATCACCACTCTATCACGTGTAAAGAAAATGTTCTACATAAAAGAATCATGAACATCTCATAATAGCATTGACACTTTTGAGAGATTTAACTAATTCATAAGATTATGATAAAATTTTGAAAATCATAGAAATTACGGTCTCGTATCTATCGACTTTTTGACTCCTGAATTGCAACTTAGTAACAATTATTTCCAATTGATAGTATGGTTTTATTCAAAACCAGCTGATATTACATCATTACATTATCGGTCTACCTTCAGAATTTGCAGCTATAGTAAGTATCTGAGAGAGCATTCTAACACTTGCTGTCAGAGAAAAAAAACACAAAGAATTAACATTTTGTTCTACCCTCGTATTTAGAAAAAGAAAAAATAATGCAACTTTTGGTCGGTGAGGCCATCTACAATTGCCTTTGTTTTGAAACGACAGCAGCTCCTTATTTTTCATTTATTTTTTGATAATTGGGAGTTGGAACTTTGCTACCCTACACCCAGGAGCATGCTCCTGAGAGCAGTTCCTTATTATACCTAAAAAGAGGCTACAGCTACTTACACCCATTGAAAGAAAACGACCATGGGGGTTGTTTTCTCCTCAGACAAACTGGTTGAGGAATTCTTCCACAGTCTGTATTGAACATCTGGGTACAGCTCTGAAGCTTCCACTCCGAATGATGATCCAATATCAAAGTTGGTATGATCTCCCTTCACAAACGCAGTGTGACTGATTGCTAATACCGTATTAAGTGGAAATGGGGCCTCTGCAAAAAAAAAAAAGATTAGCAAACATTGATTTGTTATTGGTCTTTGAGTTAGAAAGCAAGGCAGAAATGAAAAATTTGTTGCTTTGCCCAACCAACCTTGGATGTTCTTCAACAGCTCCTCCTCTGGAACATAGCTTCTTTCAAGGGTCCTGCCAATTTTTTTCTCCCACAGCGAAACTAGCTTGTTGGTCGAGTAGATATTGGCTGGGGGTCTAATGTACAAGATCTTGTTGAGGGTTCTTGGATCATCTATGGCTCGGATGGTGTATGTCCCAATGTCTTCTTCCTTGTTGTAAATCACTGCACCAAACAAAACAGATACAGAATGAACAGTGTGAGGAGCTGCTGAAACCAAATCCATTTCTCCCTTCAAGAAACTGGTTAAGTTATAAATGATACTTCATGTTGCAGTCAATTATATATGACATGTATATGTAGAAACTTATTCCTTGCTGTAAATTACTTCAGGAAACGAAACAGATGCAGAATGAACAGTGTGAGGTGCTGCTGAACTAAATCCATTTCCATTCAAGAAACTGATCATGAATAATGCTGCTTCATTTTTGCAGTCAATTATGTATTTCCTAACATGTTCATATGAAGTTTCTGATTTAAAAAACAAAAAACCAATGAAACAGTTCAAAATCTTTTGAATTTCCAGGGAGGCTGTCACTTTGGAAACCATTTCAGCTCAAGAAAATGGGATATGGTACTGCAAAACAACCCGGCAAAGGAAGAAGTCCAATAAAAAAATCAAGAGAATGAAATCAACATTTTATACCTTTGATACTTCCGTCCCCTAAGATTACAATTTTGTCTCTAGGTGGGGCGGTGGCGCCTGGCTGGGACAAGTTGCGAAGAAAGTAACCATCAAAGAAATTGCAAACCACAAACGTATGGGGGATTCCTTCTGCCTCAACAGCCCTACGAATTTCAACCTTAGCGGCGAACATTGATTTCGCCGGCTCCACTGCGTGGACGCGATCCACATCGTTGCCGAACTCCGAGGGAAAGAATCTCTGTAACCACACAAACTTAATCGCTCAAACGTTTCAAAATCCACATGAACTCTCGTGGCAGAATTCATCTTGCAGTATCGATGATTGGCAAAATGTCGAACAAATTTGGTTAGAAGGTTACCTTGACATTGCCGGCTTGTTTGATAGCAGATATGATCTTATCTTGATCCGCTAACAGAGCACGGCCGGCGGTGGAAATCACCACATCAACCTGCTTTATCGCCGTAACCAGACTCTCATTGTCGAAGATATCGCCCTGCCCTAATTCTCAGCGTTTTAGCAAAATTGAACATGATATCTTCCACTACGTAAATTGTTTTCGTTCCACAGATTTTGTGGATTTATAATGTGAATTGTGAATGACTTAATCGATCATCAGCAAATGTACATTATTAGTTTGAGAGAAACCAAACAGAAAACGATCATTTCGACGGAATTGGAGTAAACAAACGTAATTTTACTTATTCGTGAACGCAATAGAAAAGCAAGAAAATCGGAAACATTCAGCCTGAATGTTCTTAGCTACGAAACAACAAAATCAAGAGAAACAGATTGTAATGAACTTACGAAGACAAAATTGACCCCCAAGCTCCTGAAATTATCGATGATCGGAGACTTGGCGGAGTTGGCGAGCGTAGACTCCCGGAGCAATGCATAGGTTGGATGACCAGCTTTGGCGCTGGCCTCTACGATAAATTTTCCGATATAACCAGTACCTCCGACGATGAGAACCTTGAGCTTCTGCGCCATCGGATTAAGCTTTCCGGCGAACAAATAGTTGATCGGTGCACTTCCAGTTCCGACGAGCTGTAAATGGATGAAAGAGACGCTCGGAGAACTCACACATTTACATTTATATATATTTTGTTCAATAGATAAATGTTGAACATAATTTAAGTGAGATAATTATATTATTTAATGTACTAAAAATGGTATTATTTATGGATTAAATAGTTGATTGACTAATTTTGGATAGGTTCAAAAGTCAAGTATTAAGAAATATAAATATTAAGCCGATAGTGTTAAAAGAATACCTATTAGATACTAGATTAAAAGTTCGCTTTTAATATATTAAAAAGTAAATTAAATTTTAAAAATACTAAAATAAATACATATATATATATAAATTTGAGTAAACTTTGTATTTCAATGAAGCAAAATTCAATTTCTTTTGAATATTATTTACAATTAGGCGAGAACAATAGTGACAACCGTTGCAAGTTTTGATACTTTCTATTTACTTGATTTTGTGGCTCATTTGAGGCACTTTTTTTTGTTAGGTTACTTTTCTTTTATCATCCAGTAAAGATAATTTTTTTTAATGAATAAAACTTAGGTACATACGCATAAGTATAAATATATATTTTATTATCTAATACTATTAAAAAATAGATTATATATATATATATATAATGCATTCATCTATTCTAATTATCATTTTTTTTGAATGATCATAGGTGGGAAGATAACTACTCATCAGTAGGTACCTAAATTTTAACGTCTTCCTGATTTAGTTTTGAGAAGGTATTAACTTTTACAATTTTCTTTCTAAATTTTAAGATTAAATCTGTGGAAATAATAGTTTAAAATCAAGATTAAAAAAAGTGGTTGATTTAGTTTTGAGAAGGTATTAACTTTTACAATTTTCTTTCTAAATTTTAAGATTAAATCTGTGGAAATAATAGTTTAAAATCAAGATTAAAAAAAGTGGTTGCATTGGTGGCCGTGGGTAAAGGATAAGGCCAGCGCCGGCGGCGGCGGCTCACGTTAGTCACGATTTTAATAGGTTGGTCAACAATGGCCAACTTCTACAATTTTGTTCTTTTTGGGTGTGTGGGGTATTATAGATCATAAATTTGTAATGAGTTATTTAAGATTATAAATTTCTATAAAGAAAATAAGAAAAAAGAAAAAAAATTTCTATAGAAAGGAAGAAGGGATATAGGTAGAAAAAAGAAAAAATTAATATATTATATTATAAGTTCAAATCCTACCATTCTACTCCTTCGTGGTTAATATTTTCATTAAAATATGTGGTATATAATATTTTAGATGATAATTAACTTAGTTTTTAATATTTTAAAATTCTCAATGTTATCTGATTAAATCATATATAAACATGTCTATATGAAGAATTGAATTTTGTTAATAGACCGATCATGTTTTGTTGAATGGAAAATTGGGTTGCATTTGGAATGACATGTCTATATATCTAAATATTTTAATAAAAATTTATTAAAATTTTTCTTCAAATCAAATGACCCTAGAAAGGGCCCCCAATTAAACTAACATAAGGCGACTTACCTTACTAGATAGAGGGGACACGGCTGTCCTTAAACAGAAAAAGACATTCTTTTATTGGTAAGCCAAAAGGATTCTTACTTTAGAAATTAGAAATTATTTTAGTTAAGTTTCTAAAATTTTAAAGATTATTAATTTAATTTTTTAATAGTTAAATATTATGTTCGTGCCTTTATACTTTGCCTAAAAAAAATGTTAAATTACAAATTTTGTCCCTAAACTTTTAGAGTTAATGTATAATCCATCTCTGAACTTAAAAAAATATTCTAATAAGTCCTTGAGCTCTCAATATTGTGGCTGGTAAAACTTTAAAAAATATCTAACATTTTCCCCAAACATTCAATTGCATCTCAAATACATCCTTGATGCATGATATATATATATATATATATATATATATATATATATATATATATATATATATATATATATATATATATATATATATTCTTTTTAAAGGTTAAAGATCTATTAAACACAAATTAATACCAAATCGAGCATAACTCAACGGTAATTGACATATATCTCCAACAAAGAGGTTGTGAGTTTGATCTCATACGCCTACATGATGCACTCAAAAAAGAATTAATAGTATGTCAATAGTTCAAAGACCTTTTAAATATTTTTGAAGTTTAGGGGCAAAAAAAAATACTAATGGCTCGTTTGATAACGTTCTTGTTTTTGTTTCTTCATTTTTAATAAAGAAAAATTAATTGCATGACCTTAACATCCACGAATTCAAAGTATGATAAAAACAACCTTTTTATCTATGTTTTGAAACAAATTGGAAATGGAAACAAAAAATAATAAACTGTTGGTTTCCAAAATTTGTATACAATTTTGAGAATATTCTCAAAAAAAGGAAAAACAAGAAATATAGGGCTCATGTTTCGTGTTTTTGTTTCTTTATTTTTAAAGAAGAAAAATGTGTTGCATGGTTTCAACCTCCAAGAATTCATCAAGAAATAAAGTTAGTTGTAAAATACTTAGATTTCTTAAGAAAATGCCTATATAATTAGTTGCTAAAATGCTTAGATTTCTTAAGAAAATTAGAAACAAGAAACAAGAAACGAAAACGTTCATTACCAAACAAGTCATAAAAGTTTAGAAACTTATTAAACACTTTTGAAATTTTGATATATATTTGACATAATTCAAGGTCTGAACTTATATTTGACATAATTCAAGGTCTGAACTTATAATTTAACCTGAAAAGATTTAATCTTTTCGTTATACTTTTGTTTAATCATTTAACAAAAACTCAAATTTATTTAAAAAGATTAACGGTAAGAACCTCAATATAGCTTTTTTCTGGTAAGCGTACAGATTGCTCATCTTTTTTCCCATTTTTTCTTGGGATAAAAGTGCTTCACTATAACAAAATAAAGCCACTTTAGGCTACTGGCTTAAATTATGCAATTCTGGGTCAGTGAGGCCATCTACAAGAACCTCTGTTCTTCAAACGAGTGCATTTCCTTATTTTACACAAATAGAAGACAAACCTGGCTGAACCCATTACACCCAAAGAAAAAGGGGAAAAAGAAAAGAGAGGCTTCTTGGGGTTGTTTGCTTTTTAGACAAATTGGTTGAGGTATTCATCCACAGTTGTGTATTGAACATCTGGGTACAGCTCTGAGGCTTCCACTCCAAATGATGGTTCAATATCAAAGTTGGTTTGATCTCCCTTCACCTGAGCAGTGTGACAAAGTGCCAATTCTATATTAAGTGGATATGAGGCCTCTGCAAAAGATCATTTGCAAAAAAATGAATGTGTTCGTTAGTCTATGTATTAGAACTGAAAACATGTGGTAGAACAGAAATTTTGTTGTTTTTCCCACACCAACCTTGGATTTTCTTCAGCAGCTCCTCCTCTGGGACGTAGGTCCTTCTAAGACTCCTGCCGATTTTTCTTTCCCACAGCGAGACCAGATCGTTGGTCGAGTAGATGTTGGCTGGGGGTCTAATGTACACGATCTTGTTGAGGGTTCTTGGATCATCTATGGCTCGGATGGTGTATGTTCCAACGTCTTCTTCCTTGTTGTAAATCACTTCACCAAACAAAATAGATACAGAGTGAATTGTGTGAGAGGTGCTTCTCTTCAAACAGCTGGTGTTGTGAATGATGATTCATGTTGCAGTCCATTATATATAACATGTGTATATGTAGAACTTCTTTTTATTATAAAGTTTTCTTCCTTGTACATTACTACTTCAGGAAACAAACAACTGCAGAATGAATAGTGTAAGGTGCTGCTGAAACCAAATCCATTTCACCCTTCAAGAAACAGTGCTTCATGTTGCAGTCAATTATATATTGCATGTGCATATGTAGAAGTATTTCTAGAAAAGTTGTAAATTGCTTCAGGAAAAAACACAGATTCAGAATGGGTAGTGTGAGGTGCTACTGAAGCCAAATCCATTTCCCTTCAATAAAATGATCATGAATGAATCTTTCTTGTTGCGGTCAACCATACATAACAAATATATGTACATGTTGGAAGTTTTTGATTAAAAAAAATCCAATGAAACGCTTCAATATCTATTTGATTTCGAGGAAGCTTATCACTTTGGAAACCAATTCAACTCAAGGAAATGGGAAATGGTGCTGTAAAATAACCCGGGAAAATAAAAAGTTCAATCAGAATTCAAGACAATGCAATTAACAATTTATACCTTTGGGATTTCCATCCCCTAAGATTACGACTTTGTCTCTAGGTGGAACGTCTGCATCTGGCTGAGACAAGTTGCTAAGAAAGTAACCATCGAAGAAATTGCATACCACAAATGTATGAGGGATTCCCTCTGCTTCAACAGCCCTACGAAATTCAGCCTTCGCAGCATACATTGATTTCGCCGGCTCCACCGCGTGGATGTGATCGGCATCGTTGCCAAACTCTGAGGGAAAGAATCTCTGCACCATACAAACTTTAATTGTCATAGTTTTCCAATCCATTAGCAGAACGCATATTGCAGTAACGATAATCAATGCCATAGTTGTATGGCAAAATATTGAACAAGTTTGGTGAAGAAATAATAGTGATGAAATGAAGGTTACCTTGACATTGCCCGCTTGTTTGATAGCAGATAAGATCTTATGCTGATAGGGTATCATATGGCCACCAATGGTGGATATCACCACATCAACCTGCTTTATAGCCTCAACCAGACTCTCATTGTCGAAGATATCTCCCTGCTCAATTCTCAGCGTTTTAGCAAATCGAACATTGTCATTTCCACTACGAAAATTCATCTTGATTCCCAAGATTAAAGAGATTTATGATGCGAATGACTTAAATGATCATCAGTATATGCTACATTATTAGTTTCAAAGAAACAAAACACGAGCAAATTGAGGCAAACAAACCTACATTAGGTAATTGCGAACAAACTAGTAATGCAAGAAAACCGGGAACAGTTCAGCAATCGATTCCACATAATCTTCCTGAACATTCTGATCAACCAAACAACAAAATCCAGAGAAATAGAGTATAACGAACTTACGTAGACAAAATTGACGCCCAAGCTCCTGAAATTGTTGATGATCCGAGACTTGGCGGAGGATTTGCGGAGCAATGCGTAGGTTGGATGACCAGCTTTGGCGCTGGCTTGTACAATAAATTTTCCGATATAACCAGTTCCTCCGATGATGAGAACCTTGAGCTTCTGCGCCATCGGATTAAGCCTCACGGAGAACAAATAGTTGATCGGAGAACTACCGGCGAGCTGGAAATCGAAAGAAGAAGACGGTGGGAGAATTTTCGTTCTTCGTTGATTCGAAATATTGCCTTTGATTCGTATGGGACTCGGAAGTGTGAAAACTCATATTTATATATTGCGAAATGGAATAATCGTAAAATGTCAAAATTACCCCTATAGGGCCATAAGCCCTTCAATCCATTATTTTTTATAAATAAAAAACTAACGTGGGCGACGAAGTTAATATTAATTTTTTAAAGTTAATTTAAAATTTAAATTTTGTCCAATTAAATTCTGAATTTAGATAAGCATTGAAATTATAGATTTCGCTTTCATTTCTTTTTTTCCAAAGATTTGCAGCTAACTCTGAGCTAAAGCAATTATTTTTGTGGGTGCTAAATTTTTTTATTCGTGTTGGATACTTTTTAATTAAGTTTGGACTTTGGACTGAGTCTTTTTTCTAGAAGTTTTATTGTTGAGTTTATTCCTTTTTCTTTACTTGCTTGATTTTGTGGCTAAATTATTGTATTTCTGTAATTACTTTAAATTTTCACATCACATCTATTTATTTCAGGAACTAGCTCAACAAAACTAAATTTAAAATAAAAAATGTAAAGTTTAAAAACAAAGCTTAAAAATGAATTTCTTTTCCTTCCAAAATTAGAAAAAAAATACTGAGTGCTCATCTATGTTATCAGAGCAACCTTCCTTTGTTTAAAAAAAATCTATTTTTTATCTTTTATCTCTTACGTGTCAAAAATTTAACGATAATTAGTAAAATATTGCGGTACCAAATTGATATTTATGGATTATATCTCAAAGTGAATGTAAAGTTATTATACATTTTTATTACGTGGTATCCTTGGTTAAAAACAAATAAAATAATGTTAAAAAAGTATTATTTTTTTTTTCCTTTTCTTTTCCGCTATTAAAATGGTGGAACATTGAGGAAGATGCGGTGGCCGGTGGCTAAGAGCCTTAAGACATGTGGCAGTGGTTGGTGGGGGAAGGATGGCCGCCGCCGCCATTAACTTGGGTTCTTCTCGAAGGTCAACAATGGCCAACTTTTATTTTTATTTTTATTATTATTTTTACATTTTGCTCATTTTGTGTGGACTGTGGATATTTTCGTTTTTTCCTTCATTCTTCTCAGTACAATATTTTTGGGTAGATATATATTTTGGCCTCCAGTGTATTTAGTGTTTTTCAATTTAGTTTCTATTATTTAAAATTTTTAATAGTATAATAATTAGTAAATGTTAAAATTGGTTGATAGTAAATTTATATGAAATAATTCTGAGGTGTGTTGAGTTAGCACAAATTTAGAGAGAAAAATGCGAGAGGAAAATTTATAATTTCCAAAATTTTAAGAAATTGGTAAAAATTTTAAGCTTTCTCCCATTGATTATATTTTTCCTCTTCTAAATTTTTGTCAAATTCACTAAGTATTATGTGATGTAAGTTTATCATTTCTTAATTTTAATATTCACCAACGGTGAGTGACTAGATTGAAAAATATTAAAACATAAAGAAACTAAATCAAAACTTTTAAACAATAGAGACTAAATTGAAAAAACACAAAAATTTAGACACTAAAACATATATTTAACCTATATTTTAATGCTCCAATTTCAAATATTTTGGTTTACTCTCTAAAATTTTCATTACAAACCATCTTAATCGTTTTTTAGAAAAATTGGATCTATCAGGAACCTAACAATTGATCAAGTTCGATCCCCCAATTCCACATGTTTTACTTTAAAAAAATGGTAAATTTAACCACTTTATCTTGAATATTGTTGCTATTCAGTATATGAACTCATTAATGTAATATTGACGTAGAATACCTATTAGATAAATTTGATCTCAGTGATGTGATATAATGAACATGCCACGCCAGTATTTCGTTAGTAGTGTTCAACAAGTATCTAACAGTTCCCATGAATTAATAACCTAAAAATTAAAAGTTATCAAATAAGAGCATGAATGCATAATACTATCTTATTGTTACTGGTTACCACTATCAATCAATATGAACAAAAAATTAATAAGAATTTGAAAATCATTACAATAGGGTGTCCAGAAATTCACTAATTGTGGTGTGCTTGAGTTGTGGAAACAATTTTGAACCATCAACGCCATTTGATGCCTCGATATCGAAATACGTTTGATCTCCCTTTACGAATGCAGAATATATGAAAATGAACTCCATGTTGTCAGGGTAAGGAGTCTCTGCAATCACAATAGAGAATCAAAAGAACAATTAAGTGCAACATCATTGGGCAACCAGATAATTGAATAGCCAATTTATATTCCAATTCAGTTCTACAATGTCCATTCTCTATTCATGCAGAAAATAGTTTGTGTACGAAATGAACTAATATGAGGTTAATGAGCCCCGGGTCACTAAGGTTTATACCTGTTAGAGAGGAAATAAAGTAGAGGGGCGACATAGTGAGTGAGGGCGTCTGATTTGTGGGACACAAAGAATATTGTTAGTTAGAGAGGGAGTGTGATGAGGTAAAATTTGGGAGTGATTTAAAGAGTAAGAGGAATGAGGGGAGGGTATGTTTTTTGGTACCTTTTGTAAGGCTCATATTTTTTAGGGTTCTGGTAAGAGTTGGGGAAGCTCCCTTGGGCATTTTTTGCTCTGTAATTGTAGATAAAATTGGGTCATAACATTTTATCTCTCGGAAGTCGGCCCCTAACATTTTCAACTCACAGATTAAAGAATCTATGATGGAAATTTGGCCCAAGGAATTGGTTTGAGTAGCCTAGAATTAAGCTATAGGGTTAGTAACTCCTGCCCATTACCTATGTAAACCACCTAAATTACATAAAACCCAAGCTTTTGAATCCTATCTCTTAGGCTACTCTTAAGTATTGAGTTACAGAAACGGTAATTTAAGGCCCCATTTGATAATCATTTTGATTTTTGTTTCTGTTTCTTAAAATTAAAACAATTTTTTGGTATGTTTTCACATTCCTTCAAAACACATTTGAATTCCTAAGCTAAATTTCAAAACCGAAAATAAGTTTTGAAAAACTATTTTTCTAAGTTTTCAAGATTTGGCTTAAATTTTGGAAACCTTTTCAAAAGGTAGATAACAAAACAAAGAAACACTTGAAATTAGTGTTTCTAGCTTTATTTTTAAAAACCAAAAACCAAAAACAAAATGGTTATCAGCCTAATTTCTGAAACTTATTTTTCTTGACAATCCAATTATAGGCTATAAAAATCCAGGTTTCTCAACGTCAAGTCACCAACTCAACTCAGACTTCCTAAACTGGTGAAGCAAGCCCCCCTCTATGCTTAAACATAAATGTGTATTTGAACCAAAAAAATAAAAAACAAGAAATTTTGAATTTCCCAAGATCAGCTGCAAATTGGGTCATGATTAATGAATCACTGCATTTACATTCGGTTTTTGTTCCAAGTCATGTTTGTTCCAAGTCATCTTTACATTCGGTTTTTGAGAGGCATCATTCATAGTTATTGCATAGAACAATTGCTTGTGCTAGTAATGAAAATTTCAGAATTCAAAGGCTCATTTGAAATGAAATATAATACCTTTAATTATCCTTAGCAGATCTTCTTCTGAAACATAAATCCTCTCAAGCGTCTTCCCAATTTTACACTCCCAAATCTCTACCAATTCATTCAAGGAATAGACATTTCCTTCAGGCCTTAGATATACAATCTTGTTCAATGTGCGTGGATCATCTACTGCCCTAATTGTTAAGGCAGCAACATCACTGATGTTCACAAATACACCTGCCGTATGATCACAAAGAAGCAACTAATCATCAAATTTCCTCCATATCTGAAGATCATAATTATCAACATCCAAAAGAAATCAACGTGTAGAATTGAGTTTGCGGTAAACACAGACCTTTGGTATTTCCATCACCAAATATTGTCACCTTATCCCTTGGAGGACTTTTCATGCCTGGTTGAACAAGTGAAGGAAGTAAATAGCTCGTAAAAAAATTACAAGAAATTATGGTATATGGAATGCCTTCTTCAACTAGCCGACGAATTTCAGCTTTCCTGGAATAGAAGTCATAGTCCATTTTTGATATTTGAACCTTATCAGGATCTAGTCCAAATTCCGATGGAATAAACCTCTGCAGTGTAACCAAACAACCAAGATGAAATCTTTGTGAAAGTTACTAAGCTAGCCTATAAATATCATTCAAATTTCAAAGAATAATATCCTAAATTGCAGATTTGAGATTGCAGTACCTAAGGAATGTGATCTTAACATAGAAGCAGATCAAAACCATTACATTAATCTACAACCTCAACCAACAGATTGATGCAAAAATTATCCACGAGTAACAGTTCAATGCCGTCTGGCACTTATGCATTCTAATTTCCTTATCGTTTTTGTTCATTTTCTAGAGTACGCACAACAGAAATGTGCCAAGAATAAGAATTACATGAACTAAAATCAAATCTAGGAATGAAATTTGCACAAGGAAAATAAAGAGGCGTCGAGCAGTACTTGCCTTGACGCATCCAGTTTGTTTAATGATTCGAATCAGAAGCTTCTGATCCAAAACCTGTCTAGACGAAACGGCACAAATGATCGCATCGACTTGATTAACAGCTTCCTTAAGGCTAGCTTCGTCTTCCAGAGAACCCTAAGTGGTTAAAACAGTTCAAAATTAATATCATTTCATCGCCAGCACGAAACAACTGCAAAATGTGATCAAAATTGTCCAAGAAAACGAAGATGAAGAGAGAAACCCTGAGGAATGTAACTCCGGCATCGGAGAGAGTTCGGAGCTTGTCCAGTTTGTGAGGTGTAGAGAAGGCAGAATCTCTGACCAGAGCAAACGTAGGGTGGGAAGCATTGCAGCTGGCTTGAGCCAAATGGAACCCTAGGTTTCCTGTCGCTCCGATGATCAGAATCTTGCTTTTCCCCTCCATTTTCGAGCTGAACCGGAGAAATGTGGCAACTTCCGCCGGCGGGGAAAAAGAATTGGAGGAATTGGAATTTGGAATTGAAGCTCTACCCTGCCTTGGGTTTTGGATTTTAACAAAAAATATCCAATTTGTTCAGTTAAAATTTCTTTTAATCTTCCAACATATCTGATACATTATTCTTCCTACTATGAACACGCTTTAATCATATTCTTTCTCAGTTTCTAAAGTGAAAATTTGTTAGTTCGTTGGTGATTGCTACCTACTCCTTATCGGAGATTCAACAATAATTTGTTAGTTGGGCGTGAAGATGTTATCTCTTACTTATATACCATGTTTTTTTCTCTTATCTAAGTAATGCGAAATGTTAATGTTGGATTTTGAACGAGGTGACATGTCAGCATGAGCTCATGTGAAAGGACTCTAACTGTTTATCAAAATTGAGCATGATGTGAACATATCAACACGAGTCTAATGTGGAAGCCTTACTAACCTAAGCTGATAATGGTGTATTAGAATTGAGGACGAGGTGATACGTCAACATGAGCCTAATGTAGAAGTCTTACGACATGAACTAGTTACTGTACATCAAAACCTAGCACATATGTGGTACTCGACCAACTGACTCCACCCCTTTTGTAGAAGGAGAATATTAGGAAGGGTGATCAAGGTGGTAGTATGTACCTATCAGGAGATCTTCTCCTTGTAGTATAATCACCTTTTTACTATATGACAGCACTCTCGATTATCCCACAACATAGAACTTTAGTCGCATCGCTAACAAGTGAGATATTCACACATTCGACTATAAAATTAAATTTATTCAACACCAATTTGAAAATGGCTTGTGCGATCCAAGTGAGTATGAATGAAATATACAACAAACAAATTTGAAAACAATGAGAAGTTATGTAACCATTAATGAAATAGTTTTGATAATTATAAGAAAGAGATGATGAGTTATGTTGTTTTGTTAGACATTAATGGTGGAAGAAGTGGAAGAGCTCCTCTTGAAATGAGAAGGCGAAGGTCGAAGCCAAGCTCGGCCGCCGATCATGTCTTTAGTGAAGAAGACAGCAGCTTCATTGGTCGATAGGTTGCGCGACCACGAAACTCTTTTGGCTCTGTTGGCCCCTACCCCGTAGCACTTGTATTCTCCATATACCACCGTTCTGTTCATTACCTCGCACAAAATCATAAAATTTAAATTTAGACCCGTTATTGGGATCTCTATTTAGACACCATTAAAGAAATCTATTAGATACAAAACTGAAATTTTATATACCTATTAAACATAACCTTAAAAGTCCAAAAACTAAACTTGTAATTTCACTAAAAACAAGTGTAAAATACTAAAATACTATTTTGGCCTATTTTTCAGGTTGGTTTTAGTTCTTGTAAACCATATTGGAAATAATTTGTGAAGTTTAAATGCAAGAATTTAACCTAAAACAATGATAGGCCATTTATTACCTTTGCTTGGTTTGATCTCCCCAATCACTCCAGCCTTTAGGAACAACAACATTGGACATGTAAGTGTAGCCAAACACAACCCTAGAGCAAGCCCCCCATGGCCGTCCAAGCAAAGTCGATCCAGTTCCTGTGATTTTACACCCCAAGAACATGAACCCAGTGTTCTCCTCCCCCGAGTTTCGGTGTTGCGCAGTCATTGCCCCACCCCTCTCCGACGTTGAATGCAAGTGACACTTCTACAACTCAATAAACTAAAATGTTAGACTCGTTTGATAACTATTTTGTTTTCAGTTTTTTATTTTAAAAAATTAAGCCAAGTTAAACTGCTCTTCATGAAGACATTCGTTTGTTTTTTAATAGTTTTTTTTTTCTAGTAAAACATGTGCGGAGGAGATTGAATTCACAACCTTTTGGTTGGAGATAACCACTGACCTATGTCCGCTTTGACCTTAAAATTTAAATAGTTAAGGCTCCAATAATAAATTTTACGCGTGGTTTTCAATTTTTGAAAATTAAGTTGGTAAAACACTATTTTCAACCACAGAATTTTTTGTTTTATTATCTTTTTGTTTAATATTTTGTTAGACTAAAAAAATAGTTTTAAGAGCTTGTTTCTCTTTTTTAAATTTAGCTAAGAATTGAAATTTGATTTTAAAAAAATAAAAATATACGGAAAAAAATTGTGACTAAATAAACCCAATTTTCAAAAAATGATATAATTATATTTTAAAAATTTAAGGATAAAACTAGACATTTTTACTAACCAAAATAAAACAAATTTTAACAAAGAATTGAAAATAAACAAAAAAAATCTCAAAAGAAACAGAAATTTTAGAATTCAATTAACTAGAACCTCATAGAGAGAAGCGGCGTTTCCGCAGATGAAATCGGTGGCTCCTTCGATGTAGCAGTTCTTGAAATAATGCCTTCCGGCGTCGTCGAGAAGCGTGTCTTGATAGGATATTATCCGGCAGCCGTAGAAGGCGGCTCTGTCAGCGGAGACACGTAGCGCCACCGCAATGCCGCTGCTGCCGAACGTGTTCTGGATGGTCAGAAAACGGCCGACGAAGTCCGGAGCGAACACAGAGATGGCCGCAGATTCCAGTAAATCTGTCCCTTGCTTCCACGTTATTATGGTGTCGGCGGCGTTGCTGCCGCTCAGTGTTATGTACGGCTTCTCCTCCGGCACCACAATTTTTTCCCTGCAGCCCAATTTCGAAAAAAGAAAAGGAAAATCCCAATTAAATTACCACAGAGACATAACATAATTGTTTAATATCTGGATTTTATTTAATTAAGATTAAAAAACACTCTAAGAATTCTCAACTGGAATTTAGAAGAGCTTCTTTAATTTAAAGTAAAAAGTTTCGATTTAATCTTAAAACGTTCGAAAACAAACAAAATTAATTACATATAAATAGGAGAAACAAAAAGGCTAATTTGCATGGGAAAATAATTAGCTTCGTACAGTTGTGTAATCTTTGTCCTCAGCCATCATTACAAAAATTGACAAACATTTAATATGAACGAGGATAAAATTGTTCAGAGTAAAGTATTTTCCTTTGTTTTCTAAATGTTTCAAAAATACCCTTTAAAAAAATATTCATTAAAATCTTGAATAGAAATTTGATATATGATAGAATTTAGAACTGTCATAAGGTAATTAACCTGGAAATTTACTTGTATTAAGTCGGAAAACATAACAAATGTGGGAGAAACTATCATTTCTAACGGAGAGATTAAGGCAAGATCGGATAGACAATAGAAAAGCACAACCCTAATCTCAACAATAGAAAGAGAAGGTTTTAGGTAAGATTGGAACGTGGTAATTACCACGCAGTCCCAAATTCTATATACATATGTCAACTTTTTATTCAAAATATTAGCTAATGTTGAGATTAACGACAAAATTTGAGACTAATGGAATAGAGATGAGAAATTTAACCTATAAGTTCCAGGCTTAACCCAAATGAAAACAAGTTCATTGTTATGGGAAGGAACAGAATCAATGGCGTCTTGAATCTTCTTGAAATCCCCCCTTCCTGACTGATCCACTCTTATCAGCCGTGCTGTGTTCATGTCTGCAGGAGCAGGACCCCTTGCCATTGTTATTGTTGAACAAGAATAAGTTTCGAAATTCCAAAAAACTTCAGTTTTAATTCCTTCCCACTTACCATATTATAAATATAACATATGATTTGTGTGTATATAATATATGGTGTGGCTTGGCTTAGCTGCAAAAACCCATGTGCCCATGTGGGGACTTTCCTTACCCCTCCATGGGCTTGCAAAGAATGAAAGTTTCCCCCATTTTTTAAATGTCTAAAAATATGTTATTTGGTTTTCAAGTATATATATATATTTTATTTATATCCTTTAAGTTTTTTGACCAGTTCCACGCATCTAATCATTTAACTCAAGATTTAAAATATTATTTTGATTTGTATTTTCAGTTTGGGTTCATTTTAGTCTCCGTACTTTAAAAATGTTTATTTTGATATCTGTACTTTTAAAAGGTGGTAATTTTAATTTCACTTTGCAAAATTTTAACATAAATTTTACCCATACGAAAACTCTTTAGTATAAAGTAATATTTACATTTTAAGAAATATATTGATTTTAGTGTCGTGTTGAAATTGTGATTTAAAAAAATGGGATTAAAAATAAAACTAATGGACCAAAATGATCACTTTTTAAATATACAGGGACCAAAATAAATATTTTGAAAAAAAAAATGACTAAAATGAACCAAAATTGAAATTGCAAAGACTAAAACAAATATTTTAAGAGTATAGAGATCAAAACAAACCAAAGTTGGAAGTAGAAGAACCAAATCAATATTTTAACCTAAATTTAATTCTTTAATCTTTGAAATTGAATCATAAAACAATACTATATTTATTTACAGGGTTTTTTTTTTTTTAAGGAAAGATAGGGGTGGGGTTTCTTTATTTTTCTTAAAAAGAAAACTAAATATATAATAAATCACTAAAAGGTCAAAGACGAAGGGGTGGACCAAATGATATGTATAAACATTAAAATAATAATAATAATAACAATAATGGCATTGAAAGGAAAGAATGAAGCAAAAGAAAAGGCAGCAGTTGGAGTGCTATTTCAACAATAGCAACTTCCACAATAATTTCTTTTTCGTTTTCAATTTTTTATTTTATAAAACACAGCTGGTGGAGGTGAGTTTTGATTTTTCTTTTCATCAGATTTTCTTTTTGTATTTTCAATATTTTTTAATAAATTTACATGATTAAGAAGGATTGATATTAGAACCAATAACTTATAATAAAAATCGTAACTCAAATGGACACATTCGTTACATGCAACCTTAGTCCATTACTCGTTATATGGCAAATTATAAGGATATGAGAAAAATAAATATATTTTTTTTGTGTTGCTCATGGGTCAAAAGTAAATTTACAAAAGGTTTATAAAAAATAAAATGAACATTTATCATTAATAAATATTGTTCGGCCAATTTTCAAAATGGAACCAATTTTTCTAGAATAATTGGGCTCATGAGTCCACCGGATAAGTCTGTGGATAATGGGCTTTGAAAAATGGGCCCGTGGGCTTTTAACAATTTCGAATGACATTCGAAACGGTTCGTCCAGCGATCAGAATCCGTCTTCTATAAATAGTTCCTGCTACGATTTCCGTCGCCGAAACTCTTAAACCCTAAATCGCCTTTGCAGCGTATTTGACTCCTCTTTTGTTCATTCTATCAAATAAACTCTAATTTCTCTGTTTCTTTCGCAAATGAGAAGGGTGCGGTGATGATGATTTTGAATAATCTCGTTAATCCGATCTGATTGTGAGGATAAACTCTCATCCATTCATTTATTTCTGAGCACCTTCTCTTTCAGTTCTCTTCTTGTTCTTCTTCAATTTTCGCTTTTCTGTGTAATCTGAACATTGCAAGCATTTGCTATGGCCAAATAATTGGAAAAGATTTTGAGCAATTCAGCGATTCCATCTCATCTCTGATTTTAATTAGCAGTTTCGGTTTTCTTTGCGGTGGTTCCTCCGTCATAGGCAATAATGCTCGTTCTGATTGATTAAAGAGGAATCGTTAGAATTTCATTTTCTGTTTTGCGACTGCTTCTGTGATTTTAAACACCTTTTTCTGCTTCCTTCCCATGTAAACATGTTCCATCTTGGTTTTCTGTTCATTTTCTTGTTCTTTCAAGAGTGTGTTTAACTACCTTATTTTGCGTTTACTCTTTAATTTTTCTAGGCTGCATTCTAATTATTGAAACTTTGCATAAAAGGTATTTCTAGTATTGTGTTTTTTAAATAAAAATACATAGTTTTTGCCATGTTTTTGTTCAACAATTTACCAAAAGGATAAGAGGTATTATGGTGAAAAATGATGGATCACACACATGAATCACTTGAAATTTCTTGTTCTCTTTTGAATATAAGAAAGTTTAGCCCAAGTTTTCTGGACAAAAGGACGATATTGCTGGTAGATCCCAAAGCAAGTTGCACTAGATTGAAGTGTGCATACTAAACAAATTTTAACCTCCTACCAAAACAAAATTATGTATTGGGTGAAAATGTGTTTGAAGTATTAGAAATATGGGTAAGAGAATTGAAATACTAAAAGTTGGGCAGTCCTGAAGGAATGCGACTGTTAGAATGTGTAATCAAAGCATGGTTTAATGGATAAGACAAGGAAGAATATATTTATATAACGTGGGAAGATAGGTTTCCAATATTTTATTTGCTTTAATTGAAAAGAAAAGAGAAAAAATGAACAAAATAGTTTTCATTCCTGAATCCTAACTATATTGGTTGAATCAAAACTTAAAAAGAGGTTGGCTAAAGAATGGCGGTTTCGGGATGCCAAATTTTCAAGAGGTTGGCTAATTGAAAATTATTAAGAAAGAATAATTAGTTCATATATAAAGCATAAATTTTCTTAGATGTAAACTGTTTCTTTATATTAAAAAAATAGAAAATTATCTGTAAACAATCATCCAATCCAACCGTTGTGAAAATGAGTCAAAAAAGTTCAACACGCAATTCATTCCAGCCAGCTTCGGCGGCTGTAAAAAGCAAATCAAAAAGTCCCACCCACCCGCCGCCGGCCACCATTTTAAACCCCCAAATCACCACCTATTTTCCATCTCTCCGATTCGATTCTCCAATCCAAACCCCAAAACCCCAATTTCTTTTTGCTTCCGATGGAGACATTGATGGAGGATGAGGAGGAATACAGCTGGAGAGAAGTGCGGCTGCCGTCTCTGATCCCGGTGGTGCCGGAGCCGGAGCTGGAGAGAGAGACGGCGGAGAGACGCCGCGGGCGAGACATCCTGGTGGCCGTCGATCACGGACCCAACAGCAAACACGCCTTGGATTGGGCTCTCGTCCATTTCTGCCGCCTCGCCGACACCATCCATCTCGTCCACGCCGTTTCCAGTAACTACTCTCAAACCAAAATTTTCCCATTTCCCAGATTCCATTCTCAAATTTTGTTTTGTGATTCTGATCTGTTTGTTTTGTAGATGTGAAGAACGAATTGGTTTATGAGGCGAGCCAGGGGCTGATGGAGAAGCTTGCGGTGGAGGCCTTCGAGGTGGCCATGGTCAGGACTGTGGCTCGGATTGTGCAGGGAGATGCAGGGAAGGTTGTCTGTAAAGAAGCAGAGAAGTTGAAGCCTGCTGCTGTTGTTATGGGCACCAGAGGAAGAAGCTTGATTCAAAGGTATAACCACATAACTTCGTCCAAAATTTTACCATTTTAAGCTTCAAATTTGAATACCATTTGGTTCTTCTCTCTTGATACATGTGTTTTTGTTTTAGGATAATATAAGTTTTGGGAGTGCATTTAAAATTTTGGATGGCTGCACTACAAAGGAATCTAGGCTTACTTTTATTCAAAAGAGAGAAAACTATATATATATTTTGTATATTTGTGCAAGTGTCCGAACTAGTTTACTGCATTTGACGGTTGTCAGTGAAACTTGTAGGTAGTTGCTATGGTTTGAACTTATTCTCCGAACACCTACCTTTTCAGTGCTCCCAATGACTACTAGGCTAACTCACAATAGTTCATAGACATATACTATAGGAGTATTTGACTTAAGTTGGGTTAAAAAGTTTTAAGTTTGGTAGATGTATTTATCTCAACTAGCTACATAACTTTTGACTTATAAAACTCTATAACGGTGAAGTACTGTTTTGGTGCGGTCTGCGAGAGCTATATCAAACCAATATAAACTTAAACTAGATCTGATGAGGGATTAACTTCGTCGTCAAGAGGGAAACAACTTGGAGAATTGTATGCTACACGAGTTGTTATTAAATTTATGGTTTAAAATACTAACTTAGTCCCCGTACCTTCGATTTTGGTTTATTTTAGTCTCTATATTTTTAAGACTTTTTTTTTCAGTGTTTTGCAGGGAAGTGTGAGTGAATATGTGTTCCACAACTGCAAATCAGCACCTGTTATAATAGTTCCTGGGAAAGGTACTATTTTGTAAGACAGAAAAAGGGGGGGAATTACAAATCCTTTGCTTTTACAGCTAAAAGGTTGAATCAAATCAAACTTCGAAGTCTGAGTTTGGAATTGTCTTTCTCATTTGTGACAGAAGCTGGAGATGTATCTCTCATTTAAATGCCAACTTCTTGAGCAGTGCTGCCTGAAATGAAGCTTCTCCATTTCTTTCTCACTCTCTGGTTTGTTATTTTTTTTAACATAAAGTTTTAGATTTGTACTTATGTTGTAAGAATATGATATTGTATTTGTAATATGTGATATCATATCATATGTGAATGTATTTTTCTTCTTTGGAATACTCTTGTGCTTGCTTTATTTCAGTTTTAGAATGTAGAAATTTATCACACTTTTTCTCCTGATAAGGTTTGGCCATTTACACCAATTTTTGTTAAACCTCGGGAAAAAGGCTTTCTCCCAACGCAAACAGAAAAAACATCAAGAAAAGGCAAGTATCTTTTACAAGGTGTCGTTACATTTTAATATTTAATTAAATATGAATTTTATTTCTATATTTAATTTAAGAGTTTAAAGTTTTAGAGGTTTTAACAAAAACGTATTTGGAATAGAGAATTTAAAAAATCTTTTTTTTTTATTAAGTTACTAAAAATCTACAACTCCTATAAATACCTCTGTTACCTCACTCTCAATACACACCAACACAACCTACAATTCATACTCTCTTATCTATTTTCTCTATTTTATACTTTGCTCTTTTAAAAGCAATTGTCCAAAAGAGGGGTGGGGTGTTCTTTGTTGTGGAGCTTTGAGCTTAACCTCTAGTTGTAGGGGACATGCGCTCATTCAACTCGGTTGATAGTCTCGATCGAGATATGAAAACTAAGAAAAAGGGCAAGTATCTTAAAACGGCGGGAGGAAACCTTTTTCCCAACCATTTTTTTCTTTTTCCAAACAAATATATATTTTAAAAGGTTAGAAACAACTTTTTTAAATTATAACATTTTTAAAATTTGAAGGCAATTGAATTTGGACATTCGTATCACCACTATTAGTTAACACCCGCCACCAATGAGACCCAAACAGCGAAGACTCGAGTAGGGGTGTAACTAATTCGGATCGGGTCAGTTGTTTTTAGGAAATTGAGAGATGGGTTTCGGGAAGAGAATGTACATTTTGCAAACTCTGGATCTCAACTTCTGGGGAGGCGGAGATTCCGTTATTGAAACAAATTCTTTCAAAAATTAAAATGTAAGCGCATCTGGTGTAGTGGTATCATAGTACCCTCCCACGGTACTGACCGGGGTTCGATTCCCCGGATGCGCAATTTTTTTGTTATTTTTTATTTGAAAACAATATCATTTTGTAAGAATTAATAGATCAAAAATTTTGCGGTGAGCGTGGATCGAACACGCGACCTTCAGATCTTCAGTCTGACGCTCTCCCAACTGAGCTATCCCCGCATGTGATGTTTGTGTAAAACTTATATCACATTTATTTAGTAAAGTATGAGGGTCTCAATCATTCGGAACTCACATTTGAGCTAAGAACGCAGAATACAAAACACATCAATAACTTAATAAATATTGGATATGTGTCTAATAAGTGTTGAATCTATGTTCATTTCGTACAACTCGACACACGTCTAACAAGCTAACAAGTGTATGATATAATTAATCTCCCTTGAGTGTCGGAGTTTCTAGGACACGTTACCCAAATTGGTATGGATACTTCTTAGCATTTGGTTTGGGGCACTTTGTTTAGGGAACAAATTCAAACATTTTTCTGTGTTTAATTATGATTAATTTGATAAGAGAAAAATAGATTATTGAATAAAATGATTATACATATTTAATTGTTTTGTAACAATTGATTATGTCCATAAATTAGAACACATGTTAGAAACCAACAACGATCCTATAGAGTGTGAATCCAACTCGTGAACGGATCGAATCGCTCTCTCGTAAAAGTGGGTATCACGAAGGAAAGAGAAATATGATAAGTAGGGTTTTGGCATTTGGCATTTAGAGAAAGTGCAAAAAAGCATAGAAGATAAGATAGTACCCAATATTTGGGACCTAAGAAAATGAAACAACAAAATCATATCTCCCCATCCTCTGCCCAAAAAATAGAGTCAATGGGATTTATTTATTTTATTATTTTTATTTTTCCTATTGAAAGTTAAGTAAGAAGAATGGGATGCAGTGAAGGAGCAGGCATCTCATTTTCTGTGGTCCTTTCTCTGAAAAGTCTCAATCTTTTCCTTAAAAAAATAAATATTTATTAATTGTTTCAAATAAATTGGGTTGCATTTCTAAACTAGAGACAAATAAAACATTCTTCAACTGCCTCACAAACCAACAGTTTTTTCTTTTTCTTTTTTTAAATTTTTATTTTCTAGTTTTGGACTTTTGGTGTACTTGAATCTAAAACTAAAATCAATTAACCCATCTTAATAGGTAGTGGTTAAGGATGGACAAGTTTTCAGAATTAGAGAATGCTTTATTATTATTTTTATTTAGTAGTAATGTTATAAAAACCCTTGCAAGAAGTCCTCGAGTGAGCCTATCACGGGGGATCGTCAAGGATCAATGGGATCTCGTAGTTGCATAGTTCAGGTCGTAACAACGCGCCATCGGACGTTCAATAGGCAGTTTTACTATCGGCCATGAGTGTTCGGAAATTGTCATTGGCACCCATTCTAACATGGCCTAATAAATAAATTGACAAAGGCTGACTTTTAATTTTTCTATTAATTTATTAAAATCTATTATCTCATCAAAGGAAGGAGATGCGTCGCAGAAGAGCAGAGCGGTCCCGAATCTTTAGACAAAAGTTTATTTTCCTTAATCCATGATATATTCTAAAATAATAGTTTAGTTAATGTTTATCGCTAGCACTCATAATCCTGCTGGTTATCGCTAAAATTTTGGCAGGTCTTTTTCTAAGTAGAAAATTAGGGTGTACTTGGTTGGTAATTATCAGAAAACAAGGGATTCAATGAAAAATATAATTGCATCTTTTGTTTTGAATATTTTCAAATATGTGTTTGGTAGCAGATTTGAAAACTGAATTTGAAGTCGCAAAATTCTTCTATGTTTATTTAGAAATATATTTGTTAACTAATTAGTTTAATCTAAAACAATATCACTTAATTTATCAACATTTTTATTATAAATTTTGTGTATGAATATTATTTTACAATGTTATATAATTTATAATATGTTTTAATTTAAAAAAATAAAATGAGTTTATAACCTAAAATAATATATAGATCATATTTATTTTTTTCTTTTTTTAATATACATCTCTATTTTAGAGTTTCTAATTCAAAATTCGAAAACACTAACAACATATAAAAATGTTTTTTAGAATTTTCACCGTTTGGATCTCAAAATCTGAAAAACAATTCTCAAAACAAATAGCCAAACATTGGCAAAAGCATATTGGGAGAGTCCATTACCTCCAATGAATCTGAAACGAGAAACATAATCTAGATTGCCAACCAAACAGATTCTAAGATATTTTATTTTGTTCACATTACTCTCCTTTATTTATAAAACATTTAGTGATCGTCAACTCGTAAGCACCCGAATATTATTTTATATTCAATGAAGACAATATTTTTTACCATCAATTGAAGGAGAGAGATATGAATCACACCTAAATCTAGTAAACCTCATCAATTAGACAGGCATTGATGAGTTCAACAATAGACAATTTTCCCTTAATACAAATAAAACAAATGACACTAACTTATCAATCTTTACCAAATTACATTTGAAAAAAAGAATATGGCATTCTAAAACACCAATTATCCATGAAATTAAAAATCTAAACCAACAAATTATTTTATTTTATTTTATTGAGTTCGTGTTGAAAATCTGTTGGATTCGAATGTCTGCAACTAATTCTAACGTTAAATTGGAAATTAATTAAAACCAACTTTCTTGTCTACGAAAAGTTATCTTTTTTCATCTTCGTTGCCTGAATTTATTGCGGCAATTGGAAGCTCGGAGGCGATAACAATGGCGGCCAGGCTTGTTCAAAGGCCATGCTGTGAAGGCTCTGTAAATCGTCTCCCCAAGTTGAAGAGAGCTCCAAACGCTGAAGAAGAAAAGTATGAAATATGAAAATTCATAAGAAAAAGTGAAGAAATTTGAAGCAGAGAGAAAAGAAATAGAAGTGGGAAATAATTACGCCAAAAGAATCTGAGTTCATTAATGGAGTTTGTGGGATTGTTACAGAGCTTGAGCAGATTCCGAGTTGGTCATAGTACGATGATGAATTAGCCGTTTCCGGCGAGATTTCCGCCGTCGGAAGCACCTACAAAATTTTCCCCCTAAATAATTACTTCCAATGTTAAATTATTTTGGTTTTTTATTTTTTATTTTTAATTCGTTTGTTTTCATTTTTTATTTTCTATATTTTAACAAATAGAAACATAATTGTACATGATAATTGTTTCTGGTTTATTTATTATTATTAATTTTTTTTGAAAGAAAAATAAAAACATTTTTAGTGATGTTTCTTGTTTCTTTAAAATTTTAAATTAAAGAAATAAATTTTTTATATGAAAATTAAATTTTCAAATTAAATGTTTTAAAACTATTTTATTTTTATTTTTTTTTCTAAATTTTCTATACAATTTTATCTTAAATGAGAAACGATAACAATAACGATAGACCAAATATTTTTATTTCTAATAAATTAGAAATAAAAAACAATAAACATCAACAACCTGATGTTTTGACTTCTAAAAGTTTAATCTTCATTTGATAGGTATCATGTTTGTATTTTACACCCAACAATAAATTTCTTTTTCAATTAAGCTTCAAATTATCTAAAGAATAATAGTGTAATGTGAAAATATATTTATTAATTGCGTTGAAAATATTATATATTTAGAATTGGATGGAATGAAATAGACCTTACTCACCCATCAAATAGAAAATACATAAAATAAATATGTATTTTTCTAATCTAATAAAAAATTTAAAATTGAAAAAGAAAAATAGTAATCAGTTGGTCAAAAAATACATTTGGTCCCTGTACTTTTACTAAATAACAATTTAGTCTCTGAACTTTAGTTTATAACGATTTAGTACCTATATTTTCATTAAAGTAACAATTTAGTCCCTGAACTTTAGCTTCTAAAGATTTAGTTCTGTAATTCAAAATTTGTAACAATTTAGTCTTTATTGTAAAAATATTTATTAAAATTAAGTGTCAAATTTTATCCTATAACAACTTAATGTTTATAATTTATAAACATATTTGGTCCTCTTTAATTTATCAATTTATACATAGAAGAAATTTAACAAAAAAGTTTTACGGTAAGAACTAAATCGTTACCAATTTTAAATTACAATGACTAAATTATTACATATTAAAGTTCAAGGCTAAATTGTTACCGATTTGAAAGTATATGAACTAAATCGTAACAAACTAAAATTCGAAGACTAAGTTGTTACTTTAGCAAAAGATGTTTTTTAACCTAATTAGTATCTTATCTATTGAACTTGCTCAATACCTATGAAAGTTAAAGGAAAATACTAAAATTGACACGTAAGATAGAAAAATTCGAAAACAGACAAATTTTTTAAGATTAATGAGCGGTTAAATTTCCAGACTAAATATTTCCATAGTCAAGTATTTGTGAATCTTTGAAAAACATAAACCAAATAGGAAAAAAAAATTGAAAAAAACGTGTTTTCTCCCTTTTTGTGGGAATAAAATAAATTGTGTCACCTGTTTGGCAAATTGGTGGTCGACATTGATGAACTCGAGTGTGGGATTCAGAGCAGCCAACTTCATTGATAAGAACTGCTTCACATTCAACAAAAAATGCCTCAAATTTTTGGTAAATAATTTCACTTTTTTTTTTTTTTTGAAGTTGTTTTAGAGATGAAATTATCACCTCCACTTGCTGCTGAAGAGATTGAACATAATTTATAATCTCGTCGAGCATTCCAGCTTTTCCAGCGATTCTGTCACACCCAGGCACCAAATTCTGCAGACATTTCATCCTCTCACTAATCTTCTCTCTCCTCGCCTGCACAGTCACATTTTCATTTTCCCGAGAAACAAACAGAAAAAACAGAGTCCCCTGTTCCATAATCTCGAGAATTCTTACTCTTTCTGCCAGGCTATGGCTGTCCGTGGCTTGGCCTCGACGTGCTCGAACGTGAATGTATTCTGATTTTTTAACTTCTTCAGATGCTTTTGAATTCTGCTTCCATGTCTCTGTTTCCTCTGTTCTAGTGATCTTTGATTCTCCATCTTCTTCCCCAATGGCTTTGATTCTCTTCTCTTCAAATTTTCCCGCCTTCGATTTCGTCTCGTTATTTGCTTTTCTCTTCTTCTGATTCTCTCCCTCCGCCGCAGAATTCGCCTGCTCGTCGAGGATACAGGATAGAATGATTAATTATATTATTACCTATACATTTAAACTTTTCTCAAGTGTTTACAAATACGTAGGTAATCTTTTTACTTACTGTCGTAAAAGAATCCGTTATTATTTTTTCTCTCTCTAAATTTTCAACTGTGGTAATTAGGAGATACTTATCCGACTATAGACTATTCTTCGTTATAAAGGGAATGTGATTATTGACTACATCTGAAAATTTCAAGTTCTTTTCCTCCTGTATTTTCCTAAAATATATTGTCGAGGAGGAGAGTACTTTTGTAGAAAATATAAATAAATGTTTGAATATACTAAATTTCATTCGTTTAAGTGATAATTTAAAAACACGAGCTATGATCACCTTTAGTGGTAGATTGGTCGTGGGCGTCTCAGACTTGGTCAGTCGAGACGGTGCTGGAGAGGCTACTAGATCTTGGAAGTCCTCGACCCGACTCGCCTGAGTTGTCACCGACGATAGGCCCTCACCGTTGTAGAAGTGGCCGTGGTCTCGCCGCCACCTGATGCAAGCCATAGGTCTTTCCAACACCGACATCTCCGGCACCGGTGACCGAAAAAGGTGGTGGTTTTCCGTTGAAGAAATTAAGGGCAGCAGAAGAGAGGAGATGTGTGTGTGTGTGTGTGTATATATATATATATATATAGAAGGGAAGAAGGGGGAGGAGGGTGGTGGCAGTGGCAGTGGTGGCACCGAAATCTGACAGCAACGGCGGTGGGGCCGGTGACATGACGGCCACGTGGTTGTGGAGCAAATGGCAGAACCGTAAATTCGATCTGAGCTTTGTCTCTGCCATTGGCCATATGATTTCTAAGGTAAATATATACAACGAACAATTGCGTGAAAATTGTTCTTCATGTTGGTTTCATCTTTCCAATGGGTGAAGCTTAAAAAGGGAACTTTTTTAGCCAAACAATTTTATAGAATTCTTACATTACACCATAATTGGATCCTAAAATGAATGATGTCAATTAGTTGTATTTGGTTGTTGTGGTGTACAATATATTAGTCGTCTCACACATTATATTAGAGCATAAACCTTTATTCATCTCCTTTCTCTAATCTCTCCACACATTATATACATAATAATTTCTTTATTAAGGAAACCAAAACCTAAAATAGGCAATTAACTAAAGGAGTTGCGAAACAATTTTATTTTTCAAAAATAAAAGTTGAAATGGTTTTATCAATGGTGAGAGGGGAAACTTTAGAAATTAATTTAAGCACTATATATATAGTTAAAAAAGGCACTATATATAGTATTTTAAATTTAAAGAATAAAGAGCATAAAAAAAAAAAAAAGAAATCAACATAAATTAATGTACTATAACTTTTGGAAAATAGAAAAGGAAGAAGACAATTGCACTCTTATAAACTTTACATGTGCCATCAGATCATCTATTGACACCTCTATACATGAATGTTAACCTTTTTTTTTCTTTTCTTTTCCAATCCCGTAAAGATTTAGATATAGATTTTTCTAGTTATAGAATTTTTTTAAAAAAATATTTAAGTGTTCAGGCCAGCTTATATTAGGGATTACAACACGGCCGTTGAAATTGCCTTTAAGTTTAAGAAATTTTGAAATTTCCCAGTCGAAAAGATGAGTTCTTCTCTCCATCGGAACAATAGGGCCGTTATGCTCATTACTAAACTTGTTGAAGAGATGAAATATAACAAAGGTATATCTTTTTGATCAGAGGTTGAATCGATCATCAGAAGAAGAATTTGGCAAAAAATTGGGATACATTCTGGGAAAATAAAACTTCCATCGAAGAGAAGCAAATGAAAGGCTTTCATAAAAATTCTCGTAGAATCGAGAATGAAGTTTTCATTCTGTACATGCCAGGGCCGGGAGACCATCTCCATTCCTGCCCTCGTCCCCAAAATTTTGGGGGCGGGGACAGGACGGGGATTATTCCCCAATCAGGGATGAGTTCCTCGTCCTCGGTATAAATATATATTTTTTAATTTTTTTATTAACTTATTTTATTACTAGTATAAAAAAAGTGGCTAAATAGGCTAGTTTTTTAAGAAATAAAAAATAAAAAGTATTTATAAAATTAATATATATTATATAAAAAATAGAAAAATTAATAAAATATTAAATGGGGTGGGGAGACCTCCCCCATCCCCACTCCGTCCCCACCGGGGACCCGATTAGGGGGATCCCCGATCTGATCGGGTCGGATACTCGCGGGGATTGGGTCCCGTGAGTTTTTCTGCCGTATCCCTAGCTTATATGTACCTCGACTAATTTTATGAAACAACCGTCTAATCCTACCATCTTTAATTGTAAAAAGAACACGTATGATATTAAATCCTAGGTTTTACTATAACATTTATGAAAGATATACTCAAACAAACTCAAAATTAAAGGTTGAATTTTGAGTTCTAACTCCAGCTATAAGTGGGAGCTTTCAAAATAAAAACAAGAAAGAGGAGACCTAAAGTAGCCCTATAGAAAGTGCAATTGTTTGAGGGAATAGTTTGGTTCATTTCACCAAATTTGACTTAAAATGGTTAGATGGGAACATGAATGCCATCACATAATAACCAATAGAGACGCATAAATTTGAAATTTGTATGGAAAAGGACTGATGGACTGAGATAACATGCTGTGTTTTGGCCAAGCTTTTTTGTTTGACAACTACTTGTAGACACTACAAAAAGAATTAGTTTATTATCTAAGTAGCTAAGTTTGAGCATTTTTTTCCTTCTTTTTAGGTTATAAGAAATATGGTGTGCTTGTGTTGGATGTGAGCGTATAATTCTACTTGAAACTAGGAAATGTCTTTGGTATATAAAACAAAGACGATAACTTAGGATGTTGATGTATGAATGGTTTTAGTCTCCAAAACGTCAATAGCTCTGACAAACACCTGCATGTAAAGAAAACTGATGCCTACGATCTCTGATGCATAAGTGAGAGAAGACGAAAAATCGGGATATGAGAGCATACCTCGCGCTCAGGATCTTTCCTCTTATTTATAGAAGTCTCTCATTTGGGTTGGTTCGGATGGATCGGGTTTGGGTCAACTCGAATCTAGTCTAGTTGGATGGTCTAGCCGAGGTGATTTGACCCGACGGCTCAACTAATTCAATGGAAACTTAATGAGATAATTTCACCCATAACATCAGGTATTGACATAATAGTTCTCGAGGTAGAGATGATGGGGTTGGTCCATGAATTTTCCTTCCTTTTGTAGCATTTTGCTCAAATGGTTGCATAACCACTCCTCGGAGTTATCGTTAACCACACGTCATTAATAGTAAGACATATTCTAAAAATAACTATATCAAAACCTATACAATAGATGTGTGATATGGTCATACATCTCAAGGAAGAATTTTGTAACACTCCATGCCCATGATTCAAAATCATATGAAAATTGTCCCTACAAATCAACATGAGTCCTTTTAGTATGTTTTGTCCTCGTGCCTCACATGATTCCTAGCAAATTAACTAGGATGTCACCCAACCAAAGATTGTTTCAACCCAAACACGCTTAACTTTGGAGTTATTATGACTGAGTCACCAAAAGGAAAGTACACCTTGTTAGTTGTTTAGGTAGTAACTATCAATTTTTTTAAACCTTTTTTTTTTTAACTATGCTTCCATAATCTCATGATCTCTCATTCGGATGTGGTACCAGTACATTCATGCACCCTTCCCCCCTATTCGAATGTCACAAATTTATTCATGTCCATATCTTAAGAAGAGAAGAAAGAAGAAGGAATATGATAGTACTCTTGCATATATTATCACATGAGATGGGGCCTCCTTTTTAATGAATCTCATAAAATTTCCTCTCCTAGTCCTACCTAGTAGAATAGTTGTATACACATGATCTACACCATTTTGACCCTATACACCACCCTACAACTACCAGCCAACAATGGCCCCAATCTTGATACTAAAAATAAAACTAAATAAATATGATATGAATGTCCGTTTTATCCACTTGAATTCAGGGTGAGAATTCAAACTTCTAATTTCTAGGAGAGATTATTAATATCCCGACCTATTGATCAATTATTCTCATATTTAATATGTAAATCGTTCAATAGAGTAGAAAATAAAGGTGCTTAATCAGCTTTAATTTCAAGTTTCAGATCTGAGACAAACTTAATTTTCCGAAATTAAAGAAGATATGGAAGGAGGATGGAGAAGACATTCATCTCCCATCCTCACAGATCCACTCATGTGATACAAAATAATAGACTCCTTCCCACCATCATAATTGTTTTGTTCTTGGTATACATACATGTGACATCAAACATCTTTACAACTATTTTATTATTATTATTATTATTATTATTACATCAAATATGACAAAAAATTAAAAGACAAAGATATTGATTCAAATATTGTAATAAATATTTGGATGAAGGAAGATGGGACAACATATTTTGTGGTACAAAACATATAATTTGCTTTGGAGACCAATAATGCAACCATATCAATTATATTAGAAGAAGCAATGGATTTGGGATTGCTTGGACCCATATTCTTGCAACCACCAAGGATACTTTTTTTTTATTATTATTATTATCATTGCCTCTTTCTGTCAAGTTTTATACTCTGCAAATTAATACACTTTTTTATTATGTGATATTTTTGTACTAAAGTAATTTCATATATACACTTATAAAAGTTATTACAATTAAGAGTTTTTGGTTTGTGGGTTTTATTTGTTAGAAATTTGAGAGCTCTACAAAATCCTAAATCCTCTCTTACAAGTGCAATAAACAAACAAAAACACAAAAGTAGAAGAAGAAAAGCAAATGGAATGATAGCTAATTGCGGGATGTTGACCCTTTACCTAAACTATATTTTATTTTATCCGAAGTTTGCGAGTTCTATTAAATTACGACAATAAAACAACAAACATCCTCTATTTTCTAGTTAGAACGCTTAATTCTCCATAAAATTATGTTAAAAGTCGATTTGCTGGGCATCACTAAAGATTAATTATTTGTACCACAATATTCAAGAGGTTCAAAATACTTTATTTGTTCTCCTTATCGGTTGGAATGGTGCTCTACAGACACATTCACATGTATATATGCTTCATTGGACTTGAAGTAGTCCAATCCATCTGGTTTTAAGATTCAATCTAAATTTATATCTCATTTTGAAACGAGTCTCATTTGATAGTGAATTAGACTCCACGATAACCCAACGCTGCAATCTCTATATATACAAACTCAAATATTAAACATAGACTCAATCAATTTCTTTTAACTCCGGATTACATAAACTTACCCAATAAGCAAATTCATTGCTATGTTTAATTTTGCATTTGTTCATTTGCTTTCCCATCACCATCTTGGTGGTCCTAAGGGAAAAAACCCAATGATTGTCTCTAATGACTACTCCCTGTTTTCACTTGTCTAAGGAAATTCCACCTCTCTTTTTTCTCTTTGTTTTGGCATTTGAATTGACCTTATTCCATTAGGTGAATTGCACTTATTCTATTTTGTTCAAACACCCATTTTTCTACATGTTATAGCACACACCATGTGTAAATTTCAACAAAAAGTTTGCCCCTTTATGAGGATAAGATCATCAAAAAGTACTTTGGCTTTAAAT